TACTAATTAAGAAAATGCCTTAGAAACATCTTCTCAATTGAGGGTCTCTCCTTTCAGATGACTCTAGCTTTTATTAGGTTGACATAAAGCTATCCAACAGGGACACTTAAATTATGGTTAGGCATTATTGTGACCTAGTTATTATTTTTATTTGGAAATTAATCATAACATAAGGATATATGATTGTGTGTTAATTTGACAAGGGGTAGACTTGTGATGGCTGTCATTAGCTGTCAGCTTGATTACATATGGAATTAAATAAATCCAAAAATGGAGGGGTATATCCATCTTTGCTTAATTTGTGGTGACAGGACACACCTTTAATCCAGATCTTTAGAGATAGGAAAAGCTGTCTGGGCCACGCCTTCTGCTGGAATACATGGAAGAAAGAAGTTTTTGATCTTTGCCTTGGTTGCTTTCACCTTGCTAGTGAGTCCCTTCTGCCACTGGCATTAGAGCCTGCTTCTTCAGGATTCCTGTGAATAGTGAAGACTAGCTGAGACATCCAGCTCATGGACTGATTATTAGGCCTTCCATTCATAGGCAGCCATTGTTTGATAAGCTGAATTTCAACCTGTAAATCTTTCTAATAAGTAACACACCAAACACACACACACACACACACACACACACAAACACACATACACACACACTAATTTATAGATAGATTCATCCCATACGTTCATAACTCTAGAGAACCCTGACTAATACACCCACTGTCACTGCCAATTTTTTCCCTTGTTTGATTTTTCATGCCTTGCTCAGCCTGCTCTCTTATACAGCCTACAACCTCCTGTTCAAGTGTATGATTGCTCAGAAAGGACTGAGCTCTCCCATATCAATCATTAATCAAGAGAAAGGCTCACAGTCTTGCCTACAGGACAATCTGATGGAGGCATTTTCTCATTTTGAATTCCCTCTTCCCAGTTGTACCCAGCTTATATCAGGTTGACAAAATTAGCAGCATGTCTAACACAATTTACATGAAGTTTCCTGGATAAGTTAGGACCTAAAACGCTGTTTAACACAATGGCCCACTTCCAGAGAAAATATCTGCATTGTTTCTGTCGAGAATATGATGTGGTTATCTATTTTCAGCAGCAGAATGTACCTTTAATACAACAAGAATGGACCTGGGGCTTTTAGAAAGCTTGCTTTCATTTAGATAAAAGCACTTTGAAATGTAATGGGGGATATATTCTCCACCATCCCTGCTTTTAGAGACTGGCTAGCCAGTCAGCCAAGGGTGAAGAACAGGAAATTTCTTCCCTAGAGGTCTAGTACCTGGCACCTCTCCCTCAAATGCCTACATTCCAGTACCAACAGACTCGGTGAATGAGGCAACTTCCTCCCAAGCTTTGTCCAATGTCTTCCTGTAAAGATCATGACTGTGACAACAAAAGAGACACCAACGCTTATATTTTTACCCTCCTAAATTTACTCACCCTGAAGACTTCATACTTCAATTACTAAAGTTATCACACACACACACACACACACACACACAAAGAGAGAGAAAGACATGTATAGCAAAGGCCTTTCCTTGATATTCTGTATTCTTTTGCATTTAAGTTCAATCATAAGGTCTCCTTTCCAAGTTTATTCTAAATCCCTGAAGAATATTTTATATTTTGGGAAAAAAGATAATTTCTTCTATTAATATTCAGCTTTGTATAAAAGTACTTTTAGACACCCAAAACATGTACTTTAAAACTTACAATAAAAACAAAAGTACTTTTGCTCTTGATTTTCATGAACTCACCTTTTCACTAAACTAATGAATCAAAAGAGTGAGGTTAGCCAGGCGGTGGTGGCTCACACCTTTAATCCCAGCACATGGGAGGCAGAGGCAGGTGGATCTCTGTGAGTCTTAGACCAGCCTGGTTCAGAAGAGCTAGTTCCAGAGACAGCCTCCAAGGCCAAGGAGAAACCCTGCCTCGAAAAACCAAAAAATATAAATAAAATGAAATAAAAGAGTGAGTTTTACTGCAAGTGAAAAGCATTAGCTTTGTATTTAAGAAGTATGATGCTAATCATATTGATAACATGGAAACACAATAGAAAATGATAAAAATCTAGGTGGTTATATGAAAGTTATTTTCCTGCGAAAATTTGGAGATGGGAGCTATAAAATGTGGACAGTAGGATATGCTACTAAGGGGGAAAACCATTAAAGAAATAAATTGGAGAGATAAAAATCTGAGCAGGCAAACAAGAATTAAGAGCATCTTTCAGAAGTCATAAAAAGAAATAAAAAACTAGTATTTTAAAGTGCCAGAGGAGGTTGTATTCCTCCTATTTTAGAAGTCAGAAAGTGTGGATAGCAATTTTTGTCATGTCAGTCCCCTATAAAATGTTCTAGTAGATACTCATGTTTTGTAGGATAGAGTATAATAAAATATAGCAAATTAATGAACATTATTTACCACCGTTTTCACTTTAACTCTAGTTTTGATCCATACTAAAGGCTAACAGTCTCTGATAATCATTTCATAACATGTATATTGAACTATGACATCAATGACATAAGTGGAAAATGAAAATATAATTCAGCCAATTAAGATATCTCAATTACTCCATGCTGTATGTAATATGGAATGGTTTTGGAAGTGACTCTAAGACTTAAACTGGACCACACAACTCCTTGGTGATCTGATGAACCTGATAAATGAAATGAAAAGTTCAAATTATGTAAACATAGAGAAATGCCTCTGTTCATTGCAACTGGAAAAAACCTTATCATATTCATATCCTAAGTGATATGATTACTTATACTTTCACAGTGTAAGTTTCTTATGAACCCAAAGAAAGGTTTGTTCTATGAATTTAATCTGTAATTTCATAAAATAATTTGTGATGGGGAAATGTTGGTGCTTAAAGTACTCAGCAGACAAGCATAAAGAATGAATTAGATCCACGGAATCCATGTAGCAGGTGGGCTCCTTGTAATTTTGCATGGTGGAAAGATACAGGGGAGTCTCCAATCAAAATGACTAGCAAGATAAGCCATATCATATGGTTCTGCTTTCACCAAAAGACACTGCTTTAGTGAATAATGTAGAACAATGGAGGATGATTCCAGACATTAGCCTCAGATCTCCACATGCACTTATGAATGTGTGCCCATACACATGTGAAAGCATATGCACAATAAATAGCCAAGCACACATACACAATGGAAAGATAATTAATTCAAAGTCACTATCTCTTCAGATGTGCACCCCTTTGGAACGTTTTAAAGCTTCACATAAAGCATTAAATCTTTTATAGTTTGGTTTTAATTTTCACAAAGACTATTCATCCCTCCACCAGAATCTCCTTGATCTTTGATTCTGTGATACCATGTTATTGACATTCCCTGAGTTGGACCAGAAATGTCAGGACAGAAAAGAAAGCATACAAATTCGCTGCATACTGGGGAACACCTGCTCCAGCTGTGTGAGCTCGTGCCAGGTTGGAGATACACTTCTCACCCATGCAATTGCTTCCATATGAAATTGCTGGCTCCTCATACATTCACAGTTCTTTGAATTTCAATGCGACAGTAATTTCAGTTCAGCTTTGAAAATCCTCTGACATTAGTAGGAGAGAAGGAAAGAAGGAAACCAAACTGATTTTGCTATGCGTGACTATTCCTTTAACTTCAGTAAGACGAGAAGAGTTTTAATAATTACGTATTAGTAAGTGGTGAGCGAGATTCACAGAAGATAGGTGAAGGAATGGAAATGATTGTTTTAAGCCATAGTCTGCTAAATACTAAGACAGGAAACAGTGAAGAATAAATCACGACGTGACCTGTAAAAAGTTGAAGTCCATCCCCGGCATTCTGTAGGTACTGGTTACAATGAGGCTCTGCGAAGCAGCATTATTAGGTACTGCACTCTATTTCTTGGAAGACAATTTCCTTGGTGGGAGATTGTTATTGAGTAGTACTGAAAAGAATCCACTGGCACCAAAGGAAATGAGGAATGATAAATGACAAAGACATTCTTAATTGCTAATTGTCTGTTTCAAGCCAATGTGGAATGTGGAATTAGGTGAACCAGAAGGTGATAAAAATGGATGAGATGTTAGACTATTGTAAATGCACATGACATCCTGAAATTTATGAAAATATTACTGGGGAAAGGAATATAAAAATATTCTGAGGTTGTGCACAAATACTCCCTTAACCTGTAGGCATGGGAAGCAAGAATAACCAGAGAAGCCAGGAGAGCCCAGGTTGGAGACACAGAATGTCTTGTGTGGGAATGCTGTGTTTTATTTATATCACACTATTCAAAAATCTCTATTTATAGTTTTGCTCCTTCAGTTACTGCTGGTGCTATGAATTAAGAGCAGTGAAGTCATGAAAGTCTTCCTCAATGATAATATTACTGAAGGGAAATGAATTGAAAGGAAAAGCGTACCTCAATGAGCTTAGCATTAGTGAGTGTGGTCTATTGAAAATACATGACAAATTTGCCTGTAGTTGCAGTCCACCTACCAAGGCAAGTGTGCTTTTTGGAAGAGATAATACATTTTATTTAGTGTGGGACTCATTTGTGAATGTAAATATCATAGTTGTAGTCCTTCTTGGGTTATCTCAGTTAGATAACACATCAGTCCCCTGTTGGGAAGTCAATGGGGGGTGGGGTATTTTAGCCTCTTGGAAAGCTTGTGAGATTATTGTCATTTCTCCTTGCTCATCTTAGCATGACATGTTCGGAGAATGTTTTCTGTAACTTGAGCAAACTAAAGCTGTTAATATTTGTGTTTTGCTTACACTAAATACATTTAGATCATATAAAACAGAAGAAATTCAATCAATTGCTTTCATTCCCATGACAGCTCTCTGATTCATTTCCCTTCCAGTCTGTTTATGTTGGTTGCCAAGCCACTTGGCTATTACCTTTCTATCATTTGATGCCCAGTGCTGAATCACCCTGAGGGAGAGTTATGAGCACAGAAAGCTGTTAAAACATCAGAGTAGGGATTTGACTTGTAGACAGCTTCTCAGCTTCGCTTTAATTTTCCTTTTATTTTCACTGACAGTAAAATTTTCAGAAGAGTACAATTAAGATAGTGTACTAATAGAAATAACATTCATAGAAGCTTGAACATAAATGATAATAGTCATAATAAGAATCTTGAGTACCAAGGCATTCCACACGGAAGATAACAGCACAATAAATAAAGTTTCCATTTGCCACACGATAAATCAAACAAAATTGCAGTAACAAAAACATGACTTTATAAATGTTCATATGCTAAAATTACAAGCAAAACCATGAAAGCATGCACAAGAGACAAAAGCTAAAAGTGAATGATTATAGCCAAAAGAGACAATGCAGTCGCTACAAAAATGTTCAAGTATTATGAGAAGAGAGGGAGAAATTCAAATAGGAGTCTCAGATAAATCAACTATATTTACTACCCATGAGGGTGGGGGATGGAGTACTGACATATCTGTCTTTATCTATTAACACTCCATGCTGATAGAATACATAATGCTATTCATTTAGGCTACACATTCCACTTCATTAGATCACATTTCATATGGCAAGGATCAAAGCAGATTCACTGTTCAGTTTAAATTATGAGTAGACATTTTGCTACTGGAAAAATGTTCTCAGTACCAAGCCAGTATGATGCCCTGCAATGACAGGAACCACTCACTGCAGGGCAACATGGATGAACACACCATTGCTACAAAGAATTCCCATGTCATTGGCTTCCTATTAAACACCTCAGGATGCTTCTAGGTCTAAAATAGGTTTATGCCTGTCCTCCATATTGATGTAAGAAGTTATCCGTCATAGCTAACAGAAAGCAGTGATAATATTAATCATAAAATTGCTTAATTTTTTTAAATATTGAAAAGGGAGTTGCATTTCTTAAGAAAATTAAGAATTACCTAATGCATTAATGAGGTTGTTCATAGAGCATAATTCTGCCCCAACTTAACTAATCTAAGCAGTACCTTTGGTTGAAAAGGACATAGATTCAAATAGTGGCTAATTCTGCGTGATTAGGAAAAACATGTTTGTCATGGGAGTAAAAAAATAAAATTTGTCTGTTAAATTACACATAAATATAAGGTACAAATGTATTTTTAAAATACAGATTAAAATAATCACACTTGCATCGTGTACATACGAAAATACAGTATTTAATATTCAATATACACAGACACATTTATGATAAATGCAACTATTTGGCAACGCCAGTTTTTTCAGGGGTTTTCTCTGTCCCCTAATTCCACACACGGAAACACAAAAGCTTAGCCCAAGTCCCCTAGCTCTGGCGGACATCTTGAAGCAGTTTGTTGATCTCAGCCACCAACTCACTGGCATCCATGAGTTCGTGTTTCCCATCACTAAGATGGTTGAGCACATTGTCAAAATCATCTTCCTCATAGTTTTCAGGGATCTCCTCCATGGCTGGCAGCCACTTAGAAGAAGGCTGCACGCTGGAGTGAGTCCCCAAAGGGGTCCCAGAGCTGCTAGTGGGGTTCTGAAAATGTGTGCTGGCTGCCCAGGCCGCAACCCCTTGTGGGTAACCCCCAGTTTTTGCCTGCGCTGGACCCTTCCGACGTTCCAGGGAGTTAGAACGGTCCACTTCACTGCATTCAGAATAGGTGTCTAGGGATGCAGGGAGGAGTCGCTGGAACACACTGCTCATTTCTGACAGCAGAGATGATGTGCTGGAGTCCCCCGAGTCCTCATCGCTGGGAGAGTCCTTCCCAAAGGTGGAAAAGCTTTTTTTTTTCTCCCCGGATTCGGCAGGCTGGCTGTCATCATCAAGGCCCTGATGAGAGAGCTGCTGCTGAGGTTGCGCTGGGAATTCTTCTCCCGGGATGAACATGTTGCTTCTGTAGTCAGAGGATGGTGAGGGCAGCGGGGGCATCCAGCACTGGTCAGAGTGGCCCAGGACCCTGCATTCCTCTGTGCACAGTCTCATTGCTGAGAACAAACAAAGAAAGGAGTGTTTGTTATTGTATGTGGCATCACTCAAAGCCACTGAGAGTGTTAGTTTAATCTTAAGAGTAGAAAGAGAAGGTTCTGCGCTATTGTCATGCTATTAACCTGTTATTAGACACATTAGATAGACTACAGTTACTTTTCATTTGTATGTTGGCTTTATGGACCAATTGTCATGCTTATTTTTTCATCCCTCCATTTATTAAAGGAGAGGGAATAATCATCTTTAGTAGTTTACTGAGAGCATAAACCAGATGATTATTTATACATGAACACGGACCAAAAAAGCCAAGGCTTGGGTGGTCAAACAAAAGATGAACGTAAGCTTGTACAGTGACAACAGCAAGAAATAGACTTTAAGGTGGGATCTTTGGTTTAGAATTACACTAGGTAATCTCTCCAACATATCTTTCACTAACTTCCTTGATAATTAAGACTCTAGACCTGCTATTTATTTGAATGGAGGCACTTAGAATCTTAGTTCTCCAGTTATTGTTCGTATCAGTTTCTCCTAGGGGTTTTACACTTTATATACTGGCCTCTTAATTAAAATAGCTATGCAAGGTGTTGTTAATTACTACCTTAGGTATCTGGGGTTGTCCTTTTGAAATACATTAATATTTAATTACATGGAAAAGTTATTGAAAGCTGAAGAATACGAAAAGTTCATTCTTTAATCGTCCAGTTACCTAGCGGGATGTGAGTGGTCACATTCCTAAAAAACACCACAAATGAGAAAAGCAGAAAAATAAATTGAGTATATAGAGCAGCTAAAATGCATGGAACCTGAGCTATGTAAATATATACAAAATATATTTTGTAGAACAACCACTTATTTCAGAGAAAACTTCATCTTTCCAGTGTCTTTACAGTTTCAGGAAATGTAAAGGAACCCTCATATCTGAAAGAAAACAGGATTAATGCTAGCCATAGGGATATGTTCGGCACTGATTTTTATACAAGTACCTGCTGAGAGAGGATTTCCAGCTTGACCATTGCTGAAATTATGGCATGCCACACTGCTTGCTACGGGAAGAAATCACCTACTATGTCCACCATAGTGTCTCTACAGGCTGGGAAATGGATTGTAGTCACAATAATTTCTGGACGAAAAGTAAGCAGAAAGGGATAAACAACCATTTCCTTTAACTATGCGGAAGTCACTGCTCTTTATTACTGACCTTCATGCAAATTGTGGTCTTTAGCTCCCTCTGAACCTCCATTCTTAATACAGAATGGGAAAAATTGAGGAGCAAAAATGAAAACAAATGCTATAGGAAAGGGGCCAGATTATATGAATCCAAAAATTATGAAGCATGGAAACCACTGGGAAAAGTCTAAGAGTCAAGGCAAAGAACGTTGTTCTTAGAGGACTTCAGAGGGATGTTTGTGTCATTGTGATGTGAAATAAGATTCAACCTCACAAAGCAGGGTGATTTAAATAAAAACACAGGTTTCCACAAGCAGCTTCAGGGATTGTGCTACACTGAAGTGTTCATCAACCCTTGTTTTAATCCACTCAGTGGAGCAAAGAGTAAAAGGACAAAAAGCAACTGCACCAGATTTTCTCAGCAGAGAGCTATCTCCATGATGATGTCCCCACCCCCACCCCCACCCCCTGCTTTGTCCTCTGCATCTCTAAACATGGAAACAAGACCTCTGTATACTGTCTGTCTGCCTCCCATCCTGAAGGAAGAAAGAACAGACCTGGGATTGCTGTTTTGACCTTCAATTCTGGGCCTTAGGCTTGGGAAGAACTTCTTCTTAGCACTGTTTCATTTGGCTTTGATTTCTTTAATAAGGACAAAAAATTACCTAGGATTCTAAGGGTCTTGACCATATGCAAGCTTTCCCAATACCTGAACACAAGGAGGCCCACAATCATCTCGGGAATGATTGCTAAGCAGCAAATGGCATTTATAGCACAATAGATAAGTGAGAATTTAATTATGCATTAATTAATTGGCCTAAAATGTAAAGGAGGTGCAGAGAGACTTCTCTGTGAGTAAAGCATTTGCTGCACAATTACAAGGACTGGCTGGATTCAGGATCCTTAGAACCTACGCACATGCCAAGTGAATATGCTTTACCTCTAACTCCTGCCTTGGATAGTGGAGACAAGGTGTCCCCAGAACAAGCTGGCCAGCTAGACTACTGTCATCCCTGAACTTTGGGTTTGATTGTGAGGTCCTGTCTCATTGAATAAGATGGAAGAGCTATTGAGGATGATTGAAGGCATTATCATAGGACTCTACATGCATGGGTGCCCATATACAGGCACACTCATCACACATATATACCCACATATATAGACTCAAATGCACACCACGTGCACGTTAAAAGAAATAGAATAAAAGAAAATTTATGAAGGAAGACTTTTGGAAAGAAGAGCAAAGATGAGGCCATGGGGAGGAGAGGGGAAGAATGAAAGGTGAAGGGGGTGAGAGGAGCAGAGGAATGCATGTTCATTGTTGTGGGTGTTCTAATCTCACTCCTAACCCTTGAGCTTCAACTGTTTCACAGTATGTGCGGCTCAGTGCTGAAAATGTTCTGTTCCATATACAAGGATCATGAGTAGCTAAGCAATGGCCATCTTTTCTGCTATTCTTGGGAATATTTGAAAACCCTCTCAGGTGATAGTTTTTGTGGTGATGGGGACAGGTAGACATGGAACCTCTTCTGTGCCACTGCAATGATGGTGTATTTTATTAGTGTCTTGTACCTTACAAGTAAGGTGGAAAGCTGTGCAGTGAGTATAAGAGAGACCTTCAGTCAAGCCATTAGCTATGTAGAGGCTAGTAGGTTATACTTGAAGATCCCATCAACTATGAGCCCTTTCTGTGCCTGGCTGCCAAAAGGACTACAATCTCATTCTAAGCTGCATATAACAATTATAGAGACCCAGGTAAAATGGCCAATGAGATGATGCCCAGGACATGTTAAGAAAGGAAAAGGAGTGGATGTGAATGCTGGCATCTCAAAAGACAGAGCACAATTCAAAGAAACCGGCGAGCATCATAGGGTACAAAGGGAGAAGAAGGCACCGTTTGCTGTAGGAGGGGCGGTGTGTACAAAGGTTTAGTGTGCTGTGGGAAGAGAAGAAGCCTCTATGCCTATTGCAAAGGATTCAAAATTGACAAAACTGAGATTAAGCCAAGGGTACATTTCATTGGACTTGGAATAGAAATATAATAGTTGTACTCAGTGTTGCTGAACAACATGAGTCAGGGCTTGACTTTAAGCCAAAAAAAATGAGTTAAAAGGTTCTGAAAAGTTTGTGAAAACTGTATGGAGTAAAGATTTGACAGTGGGAGGAACCAAGGGATGCCGATTAACAGCACGTCCAATGGAACAGTAAATCAGCCATGGGAAGAAGGCCACCAGCCAGCGAAGACGCCTACTAGGAAAGCAGAGTAAAATAATGAAAAAAAGAATATTTGAAGTACTCACAGATTAAAGATGATGAAAGTTGAAGAAACACAATAAAGAAAAGTAGAAAAATACTAGGTAGGGGAACCTTTACAACTATCTCTGTGCAACGTTATACACTGGGAACACACATGCCTTCTGTTGGAGTTCATATTTGAATGAGGAAAAAAGGAAAGAGCTGACAAATATGAGCCAACTGATAAAAATGCATGTTTGTTTAGCTGCTAAAAAAACAACAACTACATTTGTGTGGGAATTGGAAGAATGAATGACCACAAATGACCCTGCTGGCAATCCATGCAATGCAACACAATCTATATTTGTTCACAAAACAATGCAGAAAAGCAGTTGGAATAAGACACTTAAGTCCTAAAAACACACATACTTTAGAAAATTGTACTGATCTCTGTTAATAAGATTCAGATGTGGACCAACATTCTTCTCTATTCGGGGTATTTCCTGAGTAGATACTTTAGCAAACCACAAGTTTTACAACCTAACATGCCTGTAGAGGTTGCCAGAAAGAATAGGAATCTAGAATGTCGACACAGTGACACCTCAGTGATGCTCAATGATTAAAAGATGTTTATCTCTGTAGACACTCAGTATGCAGCATTCTGTGCTGGTGAAACATGAGCATAATGGCAGCATCTCCAGTCACTGCTCATTTCCCTGTTCCCTGTAACTTGAGAATAGCTCAATCCATGTAGAAACAGTAAGCAACTAAGGCAGGAATGTGTCTCCTATGACATAATTGAAAAGAAACAAACATAAATGCACACACATACACACACACACACACACAGAGTCTATAATTTTCAACAACTATGTGCTATTGATAGAAATAAAGACACCTAATAAGCAAGATTGACAATTTTCTAGAGTTTATCGTTGTCTTCCTACAATTAACCCAAACTCTTCATTCTTTAACACTTATTAATACCATTATTAATCATTATGTAGTTCAAATGGCAGATAATTCTCCTGCCATGAACATAAGAAAGACAGTAAATATATGAAAATATATGGAAAGGGCAAAGAACTCAACTATGCCCTTTTTCTAAATGAAAACACATGTAAGAAACATTGAAAAGAGGGAAAGCACAATTTTGATTTGTGTGGTATTCTGGGTTCAGTTCCCAGAACTATAAGTAATGAATGAGTGAATAAATGCATGAGTACATAAATAATACACTAACAGTTAACTACTCAAATTATATGATTTTGGAATTTAAAAAGACACCAGATGTTGTTTAGGTCCATAAAGGGCAAGGTTATTTTTCTAGAATAGTCTATTTTTATTGCACATTTTATTGCTGTGATAAATTAAAATTACAATAAAGGAACCCCAAGCATTTTAAAATATCTACTGCAATACTGATATTATAACCATGTGTTCCATTGAGGAAATAATCTAATCTGGTTAATTCTGCTAATCTAGCCTAGGGCCCTATCAGCATCATAATATAACAGAATCATTGAAATTCAACCAGCTACTTCATTATATAAGCCAGGAAACAAAACTAATTTTCTTTGAGCCTGTTGCCTTAGGGCATATATGTTCCTTTAGATACTTCTGAGATTTCTCTTCAAATTGGTCTAAAGAATCTATACATTTAAATAACAGATTTTACAAGTGACCATGCAAATATAGGCTGTCATGCACACAGTAGGCCTCAATACAACTAGCCATCCTTCCTATACATTTGTCTAGCCAGAGATAAAATATCTATCCTTGCAATCACATAACGGAATGAGCAACACTTAGTGCTTGCAGAGAGGCTGGTATAAAAGGACAGAAAAACAAATACGGGTCTAAGGAAATGGTTCAGTGCATCAGAACACGTCTGTGCAGGCATGGAAGTCTGAGTTTGCCTATTCAGTGCCCATGTACAAGCCCAATGCAGCTGCCTGTTCCTGTAACCTTGCATTAGTGGACACAGGCAGGTATCCTGGAAGCTTGCTGCTCAACTGGCTATCTGTACCCATGAACTTTCGAAAGAGACATCATCTCTTAAGACAACAAGGGGATAGAGGAAGATATCAGTCTTCTGCCCCCTACATGGGCAGGCAGGGGCAAACACATATGCAGATGTGTGCACATAGATGTGTGCACATGCACAGAGAGAGACAGAGAGAGAGAGAGAGAGAGAGAGAGAGAGAGAGAGAGAGAGAGAGAGAGGGAGGGGGAGGGGGGAAGAGAAACTGAGGGAGGGAGGGAGGGAAGAGAAAAAGCTAGGCATTTTATTTTAAAAAGAAAATGCTTGTTACTTAACTAAGTCAAAGATTGGTGATTGGTGATGATCTCACCATCTCATCCCCCCAGGCATAGCCTACCTGCCTGGAATACATTACTGTAACCTTTATAAGCTTCCCATTTTCAAAGCTGAAAACACACATGGACACTAATGTCACTGCCACCACCACAACTAATTCCAGTGAGCATAACATCAATGTTTTCCAAATGATAAGAGCTTATTCACTGAAATGTGTATAAAGTCAACAACCACCAGTACAGCTCCAGTGTCTGGAGTGAGACAGGGCAGGTAAAATACTCTGTATGAACCCAGAGTACTCAGCCTAGGCCCAGAGAATACCCTAGGACACAACACGTAAGGACACCTGCTGCTGATTAGCTACTGCTACCATGACTCCTATAGCTCATGAGAGCTAAAATTCTGTGTATTGAATTTTCCCAAATCTCTGGTAAACTCCCTTATGCTTTCTATACTTCTTTGTGCTTATACGAAAAGTTTATGTTAGACAGAAGATGATAGTAGACTATTGCTCTTTTTCTCTGTGTATATTTTCAAATGGCAGTCATTTGATTGACAGTCAACGAATTTCGACATGTGGATAGTCAGAGGAGCACCTCTGTGTTCCTAAGGGTTGATTTCCCTAGCAACAGAATGGCTACTGATGTTCTCAGTGTTTGCTCAGTTGGATCAGAGTTCCTACTGCACAATTAGAGGCAAGAGTCACTAAGGAAAAATTGATTCAAAACTTAACAGCATCTCCACACACCTAGCTGTGTGCTTTATAAATCCCTCCCTCTGGGTTTGTTTTCCTCTTCCATTGCTGTACAGACTCAAAATGAAATACGCTCTGCTCACCACCGACAAAGGTACATTCCTTCACCTATTTTTAGTGCTTAAAGTATACCCTTTCTAGTGTATTTTAGTCTCTGATTTTGTGAGTTGGTTCCCAACACAGGAAATTCATCCTCCAAATTATAGTCCAGTTCACCACTGTCCACCAAACAGGCTGTCGGAATACAAACAGCCACCCAGTAATTTTCTAGAGTTGCCCGGGAGTGCCCTATGGCACTGCTGGAGAAGACAGAAAGAGGAGGGGTAGCAGTTTGGTTTTCTTCCATGTTCTCACCCCTCCTGATTCTATTAAGCCCCATATTTGTTGCTTCCCTACCAACTGCTTATTGTGGATTTTGAGAAGAAAAGAAAACTGCAAGTGTCTCATGCCTGTTCGCTGTTGATAGTGTGCAGATGACATCTACTTTAGTGCGAAGGAATAAGACAGCAGAAATAGAAGCATGGGAGAAGCTGTCCAGCATGCTGGTGTTGCGGTATCTGTGAAAATACATATTTATCTATCATTTCCCTCTTACCTGCTGGAATCCTTCCATCTGTGAGAAAGAGGTCACTGAATCCTTCCCCCAGCAGCCTGTCTATTGGAGAATCTCGCCCCAAATCATAATCACTGTCTCCGGCTTCACTGTCTCCACGACCACTGTCTTTCAAGCTAAATTTATCCATGTCTTGAAGAGCATATCTAGAAGGATCAGTGAAAACAAAAAACACCACAATTTTATTCTTCAGCATTTAAACTACTTGAGACTTAAGAGCTAACACAAAGGGCAATTCATACCTATAGCTTCTGGAATATTTGTTTCCTCGAAAACTTGGCCTTGGCTGATATTGCCCCTGATGAAGCATGGAGAGAAGCTGGGAGACCTGCTGGAAACCAAAGAGACAGAACTGATTTCTGAAGGGAAAATATGAACCTCAAGCATTCACATACACTAAGTAAAGGGAAAAGGAGAGGCTTGTTGTTACATGCTAAACTCCTGGTTTCTGTATGTCAGTGATTTACTTAGGCTACACCGTGCAAAGTGGAGCCAGCCAGGAAAGAAACACAGCTAAATTATATTTCAGGGAGAACTGGGTAATCTCAAAGCACAGCTGAGTTGCTCATTCTTGAAAGACTTCCTTTGAAATAACTGCCTTCTTTTGCAGTTCAGATAAAATGGTCAGATGTTTCAAAAAGTACTCCAGAGCAATCCAGTAAAATAAACTGCTAACCTACCTACTTAACAATGTCAGAAAACTCTGCACAGATTTGCAAAGACAGCATGCCCTGGAATGAAATTCTGAAGCCCACCATGCTGATTCTTTTTTCAGAATAGATTTTTAATAATGAGAATAAGTGGGTCCCTTTAGTTTTTTGTTGTTGTTATTGTTTCTTTTTTAACCTTCCCAGCATCTTACTCTGAGAAGTAAAGGGACTCTCTGATTCGACAGTCCAGTGTGAGCGTCAGATTTATTCTCTGACATCATACATATTACATGCAAGTGAATTATCTCTAAAAACCAGAAGAGTGTGACAAAGTGCATGTTTAAGATAGGTACACTCTGTGACTTGAGTCCTACTGGAACTGGATTGTGTCACTTATCAATGATAGTTTTAAAGGTGCTCAGCCCCTAAGCACTAACAGCTGACTTTACCAAGTGATGTAGTTTATGATCTTACCTCAACAGCAGGAGTGGCGTGGGTGAGCTCTAATGAGAAATTCTCTGGCACGTGGTTTGATGAGATGGTCACCAAACTGTTGAGTGACTGGTGACTGTTGTGACTCTGGCGGCTGCCCATCTGTCCCCTTTCCAAAGTTGGAGACGAAGATGGAGAGGATCTATGATGAGACCTGATGGGCAGCGTGCCATTAATGGTTGGCACCAGCGTAATGTCCCCTTTGTGAATCTGCCTGGATGGCCTTTTGGGGTGATGCTGGTAAGTGGACTCTGCCACCCTGCAGTTGTAGGATCTGGTGTCTTTCTTTTCTCGATTGCACCTCGTTGCAAAGAGAACCATGATAACCAACAACACTGCACAAATTGCTCCTAAGGAAATAATTATGATCATGGACACATCCAAGGATGCATGGTTGACAGAAGTCATGGCTGTGCTTGTCACGGATTCTGCATAGTCAAAGATCATGCACTTCAGAAGGACTTTGGTGTGCAGAGGAGGGTTGCCTTTGTCCTGGATAACAACGGAGAGCGCCCATTCAGTGGAGGGAATGGATTCCATGCTGATGTTGGTGTGGATGTCACATGACCTGGGATCCATGATGAAGATGTTCTCCTCATTACCTGCTACTATGGAGCAGCTGAGTTCAGCATTTGCACCAGAGTCTCTGTCAATTGCCCTTATTCTGGTGACATGAAAGCCACTTTCAGCTCCCTTGGGGATGGATATCTCTGCAGTGTTATTGTGCATTGCAGGCCCTATAACCACAGGGTTGTTGTCATTCTCATCAATGATGGTTAGCACAACTGTCGTGTTAGTTGCAAGCTGCTTCTGACTGCCCCCATCCCTGGCCTCCACCACAAAAGTGATCTGACTCACTTCTTCATGATCGAAGATCCTGAGGGCGTAGATGGCGCCATTAGAAGGGTCAATGGTTACATATGTGGTAATGGAACTTCCCAAGACAAAACTCTCCAAAATGGTGTATGTCACATGTCCGTTTTCACCAAGATCTGGGTCTGTGGCTGTCACTGTGGTAATATACGCCCCTGGAGAGTTATTCTCAGAGATGACAAATTCATACCGGCTCCTCTGAAAGCGAGGTGGATTGTCATTTATGTCATTGATTTGAACAGTAAAATGTTTTACTGAAGAGAGGCTGGGTGTCCCCTTGTCCTCAGCAATCACAGTCAAACTATACTCAGATCTCTTTTCTCTATCCAATGTGGCATTGGTCAAGATCAAGTAGTTGTTTTCATATGTCTTCTGAAGTTTAAAATGTCCATGCCCATGAAGCTTACATATTATTTCCCCATTCAGCCCAGAATCCTTGTCTTGAACCCTGACAATAGCAACAAATGTATCAATGGGATCCCCTTCAAAAACGTAAGATACTTCTTCTTTCCCAGGGGACATAAGGTTTATGCTAATTTCAGGTTTATTGTCATTGACATCCACAACCTTAATTATAATTTTGCAATGAGCAGGAATGGAATTGGGACCCAAATCTTGGGCCTGAACATCAATCTCATAGGACTTGGTGACTTCGTAATCCACTGGCTTGAACAGAGTCAAATGTCCTCTTTCTGAGTCGATCTTAAAAGTCTCTATAATTTTGGGAGACACATGACTGCTGAAAGAATACACAATTTTCCCATTAGCGCCCTCATCTGGATCGGTGGCATTTAGATCCAAGAGCAAGGTTCCAACTGGGGAGTTTTCTAAGAGTTGTATTGTGTAAGATGGCTGTTCAAATGCAGGGCTGTTGTCATTGGAATCCGAAATGCTTATTTTCAGAACGGAGGAGCCAGACCTCTGGGGCACTCCCATGTCAGAAGCCGTGAGCTGAAGTTCGTAACTTGCCTTCAGCTCCCGATCCAATTCCTTCACCACTATGAGTTCAGCATACTTAGCCCCGTCTGTCCTGGTCCTCACTTCGATACTGAAAAAATCATTGGCGGAGAGCGAGTAGGTGTGAAGGGAATTTTCCCCAACATCTGGATCGAACGCACTGTCCAGCGGGATGCGGGTCCCGACTGCCGCGCTCTCCGATATCTCAATGGGGATGACGGGTCTTGAGAATTGAGGGGAATTGTCATTGATGTCCAGCACGTCTACTTCAATATGGAAAAGCTGCAAATGCTCGGTAGGCAGAGTGAGCACATCAAACTCTATCGAACAGTTCAAGTTTTTTTGGCATAGTTGCTCGCGGTCGATTTTCGCCCCTATGCTGATTTCTCCGGTATTCTCATTTACCACCAGGAGAGGGGAATTCCCCCTTGGCATAGCTCGAAAACGAACGGCAGAAGGGTTCGGTAGCTTCAAGAGAACGTCCGCCACATCTTCTGATAGTCTAGCAATTACCGATCCGACCCTCTGCTCCTCATAAATCCTGTATTTCAGATTCTTACCCAGGACATCGTGGCTGAAAAACGCCATCAGAAGCGCAAGTGCGAATCTAAAGTGCATTTTAGTATTCATTTGGTGCATTGGTCAGTCCCCAGATTCCCTTCCCAGGGCGAGTTAGCACAGCCCGGCAATCCCTTCAACTTCCTCCCCGCCACTCAGAGCTCTAAGCCACATCAGGTCTGGCGACTTGAAAGCGACTCTTAATCAAACAGCAATTAACAGCTCACAAACTTCAGATTCATACACACCGTGTGGCGACTTCTGGACCGGAGCGTGAAATCCTTCCTGGTGAGGGTGGCCGCCAGTCCTCCCGGCTGGGAGCAGCGTGTCACCTCGGCCTGGCTCCCCGCGTGGACTCGGTCCCCATCTATTGCAGGGTGCTGGCGGGGTCTGCAGTGTGTCTTTCCCGGGCGATTCCTGATTTTTCTTTTCTTTTCTTTTCTTTTTCCTTTCCCTTTCTCTGCTCGACTGCAGACTAAACACCCGTGATTGCTGACTCCAGTCTGAAAATCTCTACAACTTCTCTTCAACTCAGACAAAGCTCTTTGCCTGGCGTGTGTTGAATCGCTTCCAGCCAATCAGCGAGCTTCCAAATCCGAAGCTGCTGGAGTCACCGGAGCAAGGGAGGGCGCGCGTGGAGGGTGGGAGCGGGAGGGTGGCGGGCGCGGGCTGAGGGCCGGCGGGGGGGGACGCGGGAGCGCGGCCGGGGGTGGGGTTCAGCCCTCCCCGCCCCTCCTCCACCCTCCATCCACTTTCTCCAAGCGTGCCACGACAAAGGGGAGACAAATTGCAGCAGCAAAGTGGGGGCTGGGGGGGAAGCGGGAGACAGGGAGGAGAGAAAGAGGAAAAAGAAAGCAAGAAAAAACTTTAAATCAACTTCTGGTCGCCTGTATTTATATGGCACATTAAATAGTTCTTGTTTTCCTAATTGCCCTTTTCTTCTGCCACAAACATGTAATCATCTGCTTTTCGGGGTTCCTTAAATGCTGGTTTCACTTAAAATACCTCCAAGTGTATTTTGTCGGTGGAGGAATTTAATAAAATGGGGAAACTTGCTTCTAATTATGCCCTTCCCCTCCCCCTCAGCAAATACTTGGGTCTTGGGTCTTTTCTCCTCCAAGGAAAAGACAAGCCGATTTTCTTGGAGCTCTGTTTTAAAGAACAGCCCAAGTGGAGAGGTTTCATTTTCTGTTTTCTTTCATCTTTACTCTTTGAAGATAAGAAAGGGGCTATCTTGCACTCCTGATTTCTCTTAATTAGCAAGATTTAAAGGAACACCTCAGAATTTGGAACTAATTAACAAAGTAATTCTACCTTATTTCAGCCCTTTATTTTGTTTGAGCAAAATTGTTTCTGATATTTCTTTGTCTTGCACTTCAAAAAAAAATCCAATTTATCTTGGGTAAAATTGGTAGCTTTTGCCTCGCGAATTCTACAAATAGAGGACTGTCCGTAGTGAGTTCTCACAATGAGTACTGAGGAGGCATGGACTCAATAGTTTACAAGTCAAATTTTTATAATATATACATTATTTATGGAAACAGTTTCCAGATAGGAATTTTTTAAAAACGCAAAGGTTGTTTACACTGAGAAATAAAATGCCTGAGCTGAAAATTGCATTTTGTGTGCATCAGAGTGCTGGAAGTATCTCAGGAGGTTGGTGCTGTATCCAGGTCACAGAGTTGATGTGGTATTCTTATTTGAAAATATGATTATTATGATGTTCCCTCTGCTCTGCGGCTCCTTTTAAGTTTATCGCTGTAGCTCCATTCTTCCTCACCTCCCCCCACCTTTGCATTATTCCTCAGCAGTCTTGGGCTACTTACATATTCCCTGCTTCACAGAGTTTCCCTGTAACTTATTTTCCATTTATTTACTCCCACTCTATTTTTGCCCCCAGAAACACATTTTTTTAAAGTAATTTTCCAATTTTTCCACTTTGCTTACTCTCAGCAGAACTCATCTAAAGTCCCTGAGAAGGTTCTTCCCAAAGAAGAAATCAGGAGCATCCCAGCACGAACTCTCCTTCATTTTAGGCATTCAAAAGCATTTTATAAGCCATTGTCTTTTCCCCCCTCCTGAAACCAGTGCTGTGTGGCAAATTGTGCAGAATAGGAATGCCCATAATGAATGCGTTTATTGCTGGGTCACGCTGATGAACACTCTGGCCCTATGAATAACGCCGTTTTACAAGTTTGCAACCCTTTCAAATTGCTGATCCCCAAATCCTATAGACAAACTTTGAAAACCACCACAAGCAACTGGGCCTTTAGAAACCCACAGCCATCTGGCCTAGACTGCTAACAATCTGAGCCAATAATTATATCAGTTGAGGCTTTAGTGAACCCCTCTGTAAAAGCCAAAGAAGCAAAGAAAGGAATTCAAAGGTGGGGGTAGAATTCCAAAATAATCTAATTCCACCAGTTTCAGGACAGTTTTCCTTGTGAATGGGATAAGCATACCCCCAAAACTCAAGCCTCAGGTTTGATTACCTAGATTTCCAGGATATGCCTTCCCCTTTGCTTCGAATGCAGTGCTACAGAAAAATCTTTCTCTTACTTCTGACAGTATGCTTACACACAAATGTTATGAAAATGGCTTCAATGTCATTCCCCAAAGTATTTAGCAAAAATGCCATGTGAGACATAGCCATCAAGAATGTTTTTCTGTAATTATGACTTTAATGATCATGGAATTATCTTAGAGGATAACTCATTTTACTTATAGCGGTATGAGCACCAAATATGATTTCATTTTCACAGGTTAATGTCTTGCTGAGTTGTTTACATATCTACTTGATTATATATCCTTTATTATTATTTTTTTCTCCTACAGTACTTTGAATAGAACCCAGGTAGTTCATACCTTTAATGTAAGCACTTGGAAGACAGGTGGAACTCTAGGAGTTCAAAGTCATCTTCCTCTGCATAAAAAATGCCCATCTAATGAGGACTACAGACATTTTTTCTTCATATGTTTTACAAATTCTAGCAATTCAAAATTTCATTACTCCCTATCACTACAAAAAAATTCAAAAGCAAACAACAACAATAATAAACTTTCTCTCAGACTACTACTGACAAAGAATACGAGTTAGCTTGTGGGTCACGTGATCATGGTTTGGTGGAACTTATTTTTTTAGGACTTTCACAGATATGTGAACCAATGAATGACCTTCTCAAAAAATTTTTCAGGCAGTGAGTGAAAGACAGCTGATGCCATATTCTTAGTTTCTTAGTTTGATAGGGCTACTTCTGTTGACAAATGTTCTTGTGGTTTGAATACTGTGGCCATGTAAGTGAAGTCAGACATGAGAGCAAAGTGGCCTTGTGTCTCTGGATTTGAAGTTGACTGTGTCCACTGTGTTGGGCATACTTTATCCATGATTTTCTCTCTCTCTCTCTCTCTCTCTCTCTCTCTCTCTCTCTCTCTCTCTCTCTCTCTCAATCTCTCTCTCTTTCATTGTGTGTTTATCCATCTGTGTGCATAGTGAGGTATGTGATTACATGTATGTAGGTGCATATAGTGGTCTGTATGTGCATGTGTTTATATGTACATGTGCCATCTATGCCGATTCCTTCTTTTTTTTATAGAAAAGTCAGGTTTCTATGCCTGAATCATTAAACTTTTCCTTCCTACCAAAGAGTAAGAGAAAAACCAAGCCTCACCTCTAGGATTAAGTATCTCCATATTAAATGAAAAACAAATAGAGGATATTTTGGTATAGGAATGTAAAATTTAAGTTTCATTTCTGAAGTGCAGAAGTGCATTTTTTAAACACTAGAGTTATTAATTTATTTCATAACTGCTTATGAAAATTCAAAATCAGTTAGAATGTTAAAGCAGTAAATATTCACCCGCAACTCGCCATATCACATCTTTTCTACCTGAAAAACAGAAAAAAAGAGATATATTTTATTCTCTTCTAGACTGAGAAAACATTTCAATATCCCTGATATTTGTTAGGCATTGCCTTGTAGAAGGAATGCATGACCCTCCTTGACACCATATGGGTATAATAAGTCATATTAATTACTTCCCAGTGTATCCTGGGAAGCTAGAGAAGAGAAAAGGCTTTACCAAAGATTAGTGAGGTCAAGGAAACCCAGTACTCTAGAGGTGATTAAAACAAAGAGCTTGGTAGAAGAGTTCAGTCAGTGAGTGATTACAGGTGCCACCAACTGTAAACTGTAGAATTCTGAGACATTCACCTTATTTTGATGGACCCACACAATCCTTTAGAGGTGATTACGATAACTTCTACAAAAAGTTGTTACAAGAATCTTAACGACTGGCAAGTGCACAAAGGCTAGGCCAGAGTAGACACATGACAAAGGTATTTTCTTAGCCTTTGTGCATCCATTGTCTGGTTGACATTTGTTGTAGGACAAGAAATGACATCTCTCTCTGTTGTTTTCCCTGAAGTCCCTATACTACTCCAGTCAAGAAAGTAAGAGTAAAAATTAAATAAACAGTCTTCACCTCCTGTTGGCACAAATTCACCAAACTAAGTTTAGAGATGAAAAATAAGATTCTGTCCAGAATTTCAACCTGTGGGGTAGAAGAAACTTTGGTAACTCTGATCAAAGCAAAATGGGCTGAGGGCCACAGGACAGCTGCACACCTGGAGACATGGCTGTTTAGGAGGCAGAAGGAGCCAAAAGCCAGGACGACTTGGAATCTATTGACTGGAGTGACAGGTGCTAGGTTAATTGTGTCTGCATAGGAAATCAGTATTTGAGATGTCCTGCCAAAGGGACCCTGCCAAGTTCTATCAGGTGACTTAAAGTTTGGCAAAAGACAATCTTCTGAGTCCAAATGGGAGACATCTAGGTGAGTTGCTATTCATTTTTTGGCTCCAGGTCTTCTACAACAGGCAGATTATGAAAGTGGAGATCAAAATGAGAATAACAGAGGCACATCCAGAGACCTGGAGAACAGAAAGTGAGTCCACAATGTAATCCTAGGCAAATTTTGTATCTAAGACTAAGTCACAGGTACACTAGATTATGCAGGGTTGACATTAGATTAATAACACTAAATCTGTTCTTATTCTGTTTCATTTTCTAGTTTTTGAGTCATGGTTTCTCTATGTAGCCCTGGCTCTTCCTGGGTAGATTATGCTGGTCTCAAATTCACAGAAAACCAGTTGCTTCTGTCTCCCCAGTGCTGGGATTAAAGGTCTGATCCTCCATACCTGGCTTCCTAAATCCACTCCTTCAAAAGAATTCCTGAAGTAAGAATGTCAGACTACATAACTGTTATTGCAGCTGAAATGACGTTGAGTGAATTGAATCTCCAATTATTTTTAAAAATATTTTATTTAAATTAAAAACAATCTTATTTTATATACCAATCCCAGCAGTCCCTCTGCCTCCCATCCTCCCATGTCCTCCACTGGTCCCCCCATCCCACCCCCAATCCACTCCCCATATAGTATGAGCCTTCCCATGAGGGATCATTAAAGTGTGATACATCATTTGGGGCAGGATCTAGGCCATCCTCCTTGTACCTAGGCTGAGATAGTATCCATTCATAGGGAATAGACTCCCAGAGTCCATTCATGCACTAGAAGTAAATGGTGGT